TAGATAAAATTTTTATAAAATATATTGAATAGGAATGATTGTATGAAACATAATTTATACAAAATTTGTAAGCAAACTGGTATAAAATAAAAATAAAAAGAAAAACTTAGACAATGAGTGTATGCTGATAGGAAAGGAACAGTTCAGAAAAGGAAGGTGAGACTAATGAACAACTCAAGAAATATAGTTCTCACCAAATTATACATGAAAGAATTGTTGAATTGGTCTGTGATCTGATAGATGATGTTGTTGTTGTTGTTATGGGCCATCAAGTCACCTGCAACTCATAGTGACCCTGTGTACAACAGCCCTAAACTTTGCTCTATCCTGTGCCAAACTTGTTGTCTCTGACACACCTACCCCCAATTACCCCAGTCACTGAATCAATCCATCTCATCAAGGGTCTTCCTCTCCTGCTCTGTCCCTTGATCCTTCCAAGCAGGATATCCCCCTCCAAGGCTCAGTGCCACCTTCCAACATGCCCAAACTATGTCAGATGAAGCTTCAGAATCCTTGCCTCCGAGAAGCAGCTTGGCTTCACCCTCTATAGGATGTACGTATTTGTTCTCCTAGCAGCACATGGTATGTTCAATACTTTTCTCCAGCACCACAGCTCAAAGACATCAATTTGCATATCATCACTAACCATTGTTCAGCTTTCTGATGCATAGCCAGTAATTGCAAAGACCATGGCCTGAATCAGTCATACCTTAGTCTCCAGACTGGCATTGTTGCTCTTCAGTACTTTGGAGAGGTCTCTGACAGCTGACTTTCCCATTGCAGTTCATCTTTTAATTTCTTTGTTGTTGGTACCAAGAGTGTTGATTGTGGAGCCAAGCAAACTAAAGCTGTTAACAACCTCAATCTCTTCACCTGATACATACATACATACATATATATTTTTTTTCAACAGCAACAAAAAGAATAATATGAAAATCATTGTGAAGTTAAATCATCAGCCTTCTGAAAACATGGGTTTTTTTTTTAAATTTTGTTTTATTTAATGAACATTTACAGAGTTTGGATTTCTATTCATTCATTGTTGCATTTTTCTCCCAGGTCACCCTCTCCCCCAAAACATGGTGGTTTTAAAATCATAATTAAAATAAAAGTTTTATTTAAAACAAAGCAAAAAATGCTGTTTTAGGATGTAAACAGTTTATAATTTTGAGGAAAAAGCTATTAGTAAAGAAACTTTTATTTTGGAAATTAGAAATTTTATAAATTGAAATTAATAGAATTGAGATTTTCCTATTAATAAATAACTAATTCTAATTTTAAGTAGATACAGGATATAAGAATATTTAACACTAAAAGTAAATATTAAGTTAAAAGATTATTGATAATATAAATATATTTAATAAGGAGATTGTCCATCTTTCTCCCACAGAGCAGCTGGTGGCCTCGAACTGCATGCCTTCAGGATTGCAGTGCAGTTTCTTGCCACTAGGTCACGAGAGCTCCCCAAGTTAAAAGATTATAGATAATATAACTATGTATTATTGAATGTAAGTGAAGACTGTAAAAATTACTTTTAAAATAATTACCAATATTTAGATGAAATTTATAGTTTCATGTTTAGTAAGGGATAAAATGATGGAGAAAACCTTTTTTCCTTTATTATTCTGAATATATATAATGTTAGGAGCATAGAATTAAATGTGAAGATCAATGACATTTTTAGTAGAATTTGCCCCATAAATCCACAGTTGACTGTTTTTCTCCCTGATGTAGGAGAATAGAGATGAATGGATGTTTGTTTTTCTATTCATTTATGTCATCAGCTTCTCTTAGGTAAAAATATATACATTAACAACATAGCAATGTATAGTACTTAGCAACCTATATATAGTCATATATGCCACTGCCATGGAGTGGATTTTGATTCATGGCTATCCTCCATTAAATTTCTGAGGCTATATTTGTAGGAGATTACTACCCATCTCTCCTCTGAACGGCTGGTGGATTCAAGTCTTTCCATTTGCACCCTGACATGTAACACATTATATCACCAGGGCTTCTTGGTAGTAGTGTATGTGTGTGTGTTTGTGTGTGTATTTAATAGCTGTGTTTATGTATTGCAGTTGCTGTTATGTACAGTCAAGTCAGAACTGATTTATAGCTGACCCTCCAGTGGATTTGCAGAGATTGTAAATTGTGCAGGAGGAGATCACCTATCATTCCCCCATGTAGCTACTTCTTGTTGTGTACCATCAGGTCACAACCAACTCATAGCTGACCCTTCAGTGGGATTTCGGAGTCACTTTCTTCCATGGAGCAGCTGGTAGATTCTAGTAGATTACAGTTGTCTGCCTTTAGTTTGGAAGTTCAACTCCTTATCACTAAGCCACCTGATATGTTTGTACACACACACACACACACACGCCAAAATCTAGAAATGGACTGCTTTTTGGGGGTGATTTTCCCCCAAAAAGGAGGGGTAGTGTTTGTATTAGCAAGTGGTTCAAATGCTCAGTTGCCAGGCAAAGCATGACTGTTTTAAACTCACTCAGTACTGCCTCACAAAACATGCCTGACAATCTGCTTTCATAATGTCACAACCTTGAAAACGCTGTGAATCAGTTTTACTCTGCTCACATGAAACAGCCACAAGTTGGAATCAACTGGAAGACAACATCATTTAGTACTTCAATGACCAGATTAAATTTTAGGAAAAGGAAAGAAAAGTTCATCACAATTTATTTGAAACACATAGCTTTAGATTATCTATTTGTGTCTTATAAACCAGTCATACATCTATTATAATATTCGTATTGTGTAGTATATGTTGTTGTTATGTGCCTTTGAGCCAGAACTGACCTTTAACTAACTGTTTTCAGAAGCAGTTAATTGCACAGAAGGAGATTGCCCATCTTTCTCCTGCAGAGCAGCTAATGGATTAGAACTGCATGCCTTTGGCCACCAGAGCAGTGTGTATATATCTAGTTGTGTACCATCAAGTGGCAACCGACCAATAACTGACCCTCCAATAGGTTTTCAGAGACAATAAATCACATGGAAGGAAGTTGTCCATCCTTCTCCCGAGGAGCAGCCAGTGGATTCAAACCTCATGCCTTTGGGATTGTAGTGTAGTTTTTTACCACTAGGCCATGAGGGAGAGAGCAAGGGAGAGAAAGAGCGAGGGCACTAGGCCATGAGAGAGAGAGGGAGAGAGCAAGGGAGAGAAAGAGCGAGGGAGGGAAACAGAGTGTGTGTGTGCATGTGTGTAGTCTAACTAAAATTACTCAACCTTAAGTTAATGAGGTCTTTCTTGCTGAAATGCTTTTAATACTTTTAATTTGGATTTCTATTAGGGAAACATTCAGTTCTTTTACTTCTGAACTGTAAATGGATATGTAAACCAAAAATTGTTAAAAATTATTATACAGTGGCTTGAGAACGGGCAAATAGTTTTAAAAGAAAAAAATCAATAATTCTTACTTAAGGTTAGTTATATAAAAATTTTAATTATGATATCCACCAAAAGTATTCTTCTTAGTAGCTTGTTTTCTGGCAGAGTAAAATTCTATAAGCTTTCATTTTTGTTTTGCTTTAGAGAAAATAAATTTTCTCAGTAGTGATTTCCTCAAAGGAATGTCAGTAATTTCTTTCACAATAAAAACTCAGTAAACCTAGATTTTTTTAAATGATAACTGTCTTTTTTAATATATTATTTGTTGCTCATTGTTTCTTTCATATACAGTAGAAAATTTCAGTTTATTGTATTTGAAAAACTCTTGCTGTAACTGTGGTAGATTCGAATCCATTTTAGTAATAACTTTCAAAATGTTATAATGTTTTTCTCTCTTTTTTAACTGTAGACCCTCAAGATGAAAATAAAATTGGAATTGATGGAATTCAACAGTTTTGTGATGATTTAAGCCTAGACCCTGCAAGCATCAGTGTTTTGGTCATAGCATGGAAGTTCAGGGCAGCCACTCAGTGTGAATTTAGCAAAAGAGAATTTGTAGATGGCATGACAGAGCTTGGGTAAGTTGTTCTCAGGTTAAATGTTCTATTAAATTTCTAAGAAAGGACACTACTTTCAATAACCTATAAATACTAAGTATTTTCTTTACATTTGTTATAAATTTCTCATGTATAGATACTACTTAAAGTTTGACTTTTCCTTTTAAATTCCAATTTAAGTTTTTTACAATATTTTTCAAAATTTTTTTCTAAATAATTCTTTTTTTATTTTACCCTTCTCAATTTTATATGGAAAAGTTTACATCAGGAGTGTTTTTAATTACTTTTCAGTCATTCCATTTATTTCATAGCACTGTGAATAAAACATTTAGTTTAGTGATGATGTTATATTAAGCAGTAATAGGATGTCATTTTGTTTTATTCTGTTAACACTCTTTTGTAGGGAGCTCTGGTGGTGGCCTAGTGGCAAAAAAGCTGCATTGTTATCCCAAAGGCACGCCCTTCAAGTCCACTAGCTGTTTGGCAGGAGAATGATGGGGGGCAGTATTTGCTTGTACTATTGACTGCCTCTAAAAACCTGCCAGAGGGTCAACTATGGGTTGGTTCTGACTCTACGGTACACAACAACAGAAAACACTGTTTTATCTATTGTTAGGTTCCAGTGAGTATGTTCCCGTGCACAGCAGAAGAAACACTGCTTGCTCCTGCAAGATCTTTCTAGTTTTTGCTGATGTGGATAACTGTCCACATTGTTGAAGGCCCAGTGTTAGTTCGTCTCACTGAGGGATCTTCTTTTCTCTCTTCCTCTTTTCTGTTCTTTACCAACTATGACATCTTTGTCCAGGTACTGATCCCTCTTTTTAGCAGAGCCAAAGTATATGATGCGAAGTTTGATTATTCTAATTTCTAAGGAGCACTCTGGCTGTACATTTTCTTAGATAATGGTGTTTATTATCCCAGAACGCCATTGCATACTCAGTATTCTTCACCAGAAGCATCAGATTTAAAAGTATCAGATTTCCTTCAGGCATCTTTATTCATTTCCCAGCATTTGCATGTGTATTAAACTCACTGCCGCCCAGTAGGTTCCATTTATGATGACTTTCCATTGGATTTATAAAGCTATAGATTTTAATTGGAGGAGATTGTCCACCTTTCTTCTGCTGAACAGCTGGTAGATTTAAACCAATGGCTTTTGGTTAACCGCCTAGCACATAACCCTCTGCACCACCATTGTTCTTGCATGTGTGCTGCTGGTTGTTATGTGCTGCCAAGTCACCAAAATTCATAGCGACCCTATCAGCAACAGATCTGATCCCTGCCCTATTCTGTGCCATCCTCACCATCTCTGACATACTTGAGCCCATTGTTGAAGTCACCATGTCAGTCCATTTTGTCAAGGGTCTTCCTCTCTTATACTGACCTTTCACCTTTCCAAGCATGATGTCCATCTCCAAGGACTGACATCTCCTATCAAAGTGCTCAAAATACATGAGACGAAGTTTGACCATCCTTGCTTCCAAGGACCACTAGGGTTTCCCTTTCTCCAAGACAGACCTTTTTATTCTTATGGCACTTGATGGAATATTCAGTCCCCTTCTCTAGCACCATAACTCAAAGGCATCAGTTCTTTTTCTGCCATACTTATTCATCGTCTAGCTCTCAGACGCATAATGAGTAATTGAAGACCACAACTTAGATCAGACTTACTCTGAGGTGTTTTTTTTTAAACAATTTATTTCTTTTTTTTATTTTATTATTTTTGTGTGAGTGTACCATCAAATCAGATCTGACTAGTACAGGAGGAGATTGTCCCTCCTTCCGCAGCAGAGCATCTGGTGGGTTCAAACCGTGCGCCTCTGGGATTGTAGTTGCAGCTCCTTGCCACTAGGCCACCAGAGCTCCCCTTCACTCTGAGTTTTTAAACTGATGTCATTGTTCTTAATCATCTTGGCGGAGTTCCCCACAAGGCAACACATCCTTTGATTTATTTTTTAAATAATATTTTATTTGAGATTTTAGTAAAAATTTATAGAGAATTTGGATTTCTATTCATTCATTGTTGCACATTTTTTCACCGACCCCCCCCCCACCCAGTTTGCTCTTCTCTTTGAAAAACAAAGTTCTTCTATTGTAGTACAATTCCCCACCCCAGTTCACTTTACTATGCATCTCTTATTCTGGACTGTTTATAATACAAATGATACCTAATCATATATAACTTTTAAGCAATTCTTTCCCTCATCTGTTTCGATGCAGTGTATATTATTTATTCCCTTTTCTTAGATTCCCCCCAACCCTGATGCCAGTCCAGTTTTACAATAGTAGCATTAGGCAGTATTTGTCCTTTTGTGACTGCAATATTTCACTCAGCATAATGTCCTACAGGGTCACCCATTTTGTATAATATTTCATGAGTTCCTTGTTTTTAAGTGCTGCATAGTATTCCATTGTGTGAATATACCACAGCTTCTCTGTCTATTCATTTGTTGATGGGCACTTGGATTGTTTCCATCCCTTTACTATTGTGAACAATACAGCAATAAACAAGGGTGTACATATATGTGCTTGGGTGGCAGTTCTGTTTTCTTTAGGGTATACTGTGAGTAGTGGAATTGCTGAGACAAATGATATTTCTATTTCCAACTTTTTGAGAAAAAGCCATACTGCCTTTCATATGGTTCCACCATTTGACATTCCCACCAACAGTGAATAAGGCTTCCAGTTTCTCCACAACCTCACCAACATTTGTTTGTTTGCTGCTCTAATTGAATTTTGCTATTGTTACTGGGGTGAGAAGATATCTCATAGCTGTTTTGATTTGCATCTCTCTTAGAGACAGGGATTTTGAACATTTCTTCATGTGTTTGTTCGCCATCTGAATGTCTTCTTTAGTGAAGTGTCTGTTCATATCCTGTGCCCATTTTGCAATTAGGTTGTTTATCTTGTTGTGGCATTCAAGTATTCTATAAATTCTAGATATAGGTCCCTATCAGATATGTCATTACCAAATTTTTCCCCCCAGGCTGTGGCTTTCCTTTTTGCTCTGTTGAAGAAGTTTTTGCATGTGCGTAGGGATTTGATTCTTAGAAGGTTCCATTCATCTATTTTATCCTCTCCTGGTTGTAGGTTTTTCAGGATGCTTTTTTCAGAAAGACTGTTTATGTTGTGGATTAGGGCTTCTGGAATTCTTCCAGGCTTTTCTCTAATAAAGTTTATAGTCCTTCATTTTAGTCCTAGGTTCTTGATCCACTTTGAGTTGGTTTTTGTGTATGGTGTGAGGTGTGGGTCTTGCTTTAGTTTTCTACAGGTAGCTTTCCAATTTTGCCAACACTGTTTGTTAAAAAGTGTGTTATTATCCCACTTAAGTGATTTCATCCCCCTTGTCAAAAATTAGTTAACCATAGGTAGATGGGTAGATTTCTGGGTTCTCAATTCTATTCCATTGATCTATGTGTCTGGCATTGTACTATGCTGTCTTTTTTATTATTATTAATAATTTTAATGAAAATTTGCACTTTGGATTTCCCTTCATTCATTGTTGCACTTTTCTCCCTGCTCTCCCCCCCCCCCCCTTTGAAAAGTAAAAGAAAAATTCTTTAATTGTTTTACAGTCCTTCCCCCCAGGTCCACTCCACTATGCAGCCTTTGTTCTGGACTCCTGTCATGACAGTAATATCTAATCACATAGCCCTTTTAAACAGTTTTCTCCCTCATCTGTTTCAATGCAGTATACATTATTTATCCCATCTTTCTCAGTCTCCCCCCAACCCCGATGTCAGTCCTGTTTTACAACAGTGGGACTCTGCAGTATTTGTCCTTTTGTGACTGAGATATTTCACTAAGCATAATGTCCTCCAGGGTCACCCATTTTAAATAATATTGCACGAGTTCCTTGTTTTTCAATGCAGCGTAGTATTCCCTTGTGTGAATATACCACAGTTTCTCTATCCATTCGTTTGTTGATGGGCACTTAGGTTGTTTCCGACTCCTTGCTATTGTGAACAAAACCACGATAAACATGAGTGTGCATAGTACCATGCTGTCTTGACCACCATAGCAGTGTAGTAGGATTTGAAATCAGGGAGGGGTATACCTCCTTGTTTCTCTTTTTAAGGAGTACTTTGCTTGTTCTGGGCCTCTTTCCATTCCAAATGAAATTGGAGATTGCCTTTTACATTTCATTGAAGAATGGAATTGGTATTTGTATTGGGATTGTGTTGAACATGTAGATTGCCTTTGGTAGAATTGTCATTTTTCCACAATGTTGAGGATTCCTATCCAGGAGCAAGGTATATTCTTCTATTTCTCCAGGTTTCTCTTTGTTTCTTGTTGCAATGTTTTATAATTTTCTTTGAATAGATCCTTTGTGTTTCTAGTTAGTTTTACTCCCAAGTATTTAATCTGGTGATTAGCTGTTGTGATGGGTATTGGTTTTTTTCGCTCCAGTTCTGTATTCTCTTTGTCACTGTAGAGAAATTCAGTTGATTTTTATATGTTGATCTTGTATCCTGCCACTTTGCTGAATTGGTCAACTATTTCCAGAAGTTTTCTTGCTGAGTCTTTAAGGTTTTCTAAGTATACTATCATATCATCTGCATATTTTGCCTCTTCTTTTGGATACCTTTTATTTCCTTTTGTTGTCTTACTGCTATTGCTAAGACTTCAATACAATATTGAATAAGAGAGGTGATAGTTGGCCTCCTTTCCTAGTTCCTGTTCTCAAAAGGAATGCCTTTAATCTCTCTCTATTTAAAATAATGTTGACTCTTGGGTTTGGATGTATACTTTTTACTATGTTGAGGAAATTTTCCTCTATTCCTTTTTTGAGTATTTTAATCAGGAAAGGGTGTTGGATTTTGTCAAAGGCCTTTTCTGTATCAATTGATAGGATCATGTAGTTCTTGTTCTTTGCTTTCTTAATGTGATGAATTGCACTGATTAGTTTTCTTCTGTTGAACCATCTTTTCATACCTGTTATTAATCCCACTTGGTCATGGTGAATTTTTTTTTCTTATGTATCATTGGATTATATTAACCAGGATTTTCTTCTAGATTTT